ATTTTTTCCCCTTAAATATTTGCAGATTTCAAAGGCCTGCAGGAGCTATACCATCTTCTATCAAGCAGCCCTAAGTATTCACACCAGTAATGAATGATCAATCATAGTTTACCAACACAGACACATATTCAAAAAACACACTTAAAATATATTGATACATATGTAGGTGTGCATTTCATTTTACCGCTAGCTGTTAGTGTAAGGCTTAAATCTTAATCAATTTAATTCAGTTATATTTATATTTACCACTCAAGCTGATATTGTTTGTATATCATTTAAAAAATAAAATTTTATTTCCAAGATTTATTCAAATACCGCATAGATATATTAAAGTCACTTCTTGCAATTATATTTTCCAAATTTTGTTTCGAGTTTGAAATTATGAAAAACAGAACGTTCACGAGATGTGTTTCATTTTTTTTTTAACAAAATTTTATGAAATCTTATATATATATATATAATTGAAGTGGTGGTCAGCTAATTAGTTAACAGATTTTTGCTCTTTCTCTCCGATCTGATTCTTGTTTCACTTCTTTCTGCATAACTTTGAAACATCTAATCTCTATCTCTGAAGCACCAAGAATGTTGAATGATACATCAAATCATTTGCATTCTGAAGAGGACATAGCAGAAGGTCTAGAGATGGAAGCTTGCAATGATGAATAATATCACTGTATCTGTACTGTTATGTAAGCTAATTATTAGTACTACTACTACTGCAACCTACTGTCATTTATGTACCCCTTTTTTCTTTTATTCTGAAGTGAAATAAAGAACTTTCATTTACTCAATCAATTCACTTCATCTTCAAACCATGCACATGCCTTTCTTTCTCTCTCTACTTTTTCTCTCGCCTCTCCCTAACCTCAGCGGCCTCCGTTTCATCTACTCTCTTTTGCCCATGGGTGCCGACTCTTGCCTCTCACCGGTAAATAAATTTGGCATGGTGTAAATAGTTTCATTCGGTTGGTGGTTTCATGTCATTTTATTGTGGTTTTGTTCGATCTGCTCCTGATTTCCCTTGTTTTCGGCTTGACAGGGTGAATCTGGTGTTTTGTCTCTAACTAGATTCTTGATCTATGTCGGGTTTCGGTGTTCCCGTCTTTTAGTGAAGGGTTTGGGTAGTTTTCCCCCAGTCGGCAACGCCTTGTGAATGTAGTTTTGCAGCTGTTGTCTTGATGACGGCCTAACATTTGGGTCACTCCAATTGCTACTCTTCTTCTTAGGTGATCCGTCGATATTTTTTGGCTTGTTTCTCAACAAATTAAAAACTTATTCTTTAATTTTTATTATATTATTTTTTGATTTGTTTGCTTTGTACTATGTTTATGACTGTGTGTAGATGCTGCTAAAAAAAAAAAATAATAATCTTCGAACCATGCACAAGCTTCAACAGTTCAGGAGAGATGGGATTGTATAGTAAATCCTATTACCAATCACCACGCGTTAGAAATGTATGTTAGAAATTTGAAAAGTTTTTTCAATTTTTTCAAACATGTCCGATAGTGACTGACTAGAAACATCGGTGACCATTGACCAATCGATCTCGTTTCACTGTTCACAAGCATGCTTATATATATATATATGGTAACTTTCACAAACTCATTATTGTTACATTAAAGGCAATGGATGGATATAGGCCTTCTTTTTGACATATCATCTTTATGTCCAATTGTTCTGACTACTTTTCGGGTATGTGCAATGTGTCTGAACTCTCTCCACTGTGTTCCTCACCAAAAATCAGTGCTTTTAGATGTAAAGGAATTAAATGCAAACTTAGTGTGATTATCGATTGAATGTATAAGAATGGAAGTTTCAATCAGATCGATCGTATGGATTTAAAGATGTTACACTAATTATTTAGAGAATAGAACCCATATCTTATCCATGCTCGAGTATCACATACTTTCTATTCATCTATATTCGAGTTGAAACAACCCAGACGCAAGTCATGTTACAAGTTTTTTATTTTATTTTTTATTATATGGTACATTCCAACTAATTATATATTGTTATGCAAACGTAAGTGTCAACTTTATAGTGTTTGACAAAATGTGATTTACAATAATAAAAAAATATATGTAATTTCATTTTGCATCATTCCTTCGTTTCAAAATAAGTATTCAGCTTTTTTTTATATCTATCAAAAAATAATTATCTCATTTAAAAAATTAATATATATATATATATATATATATATATATATATATATATATATATATATATTTTATAATAGGGTAAAGTGTAAAAAAAATCCCGCAACTATGTCTAAATTTGCAAATTACTCCCTTGAACTATGTTTTGTGCATAAATCCCCTTAAACTATCACATTTAGTTGCAAAATACCCCATTGTCTTACTTATTTTTTATTAAATGACCATAATACCCCTTCTTATTAAATTACACTTGATATATTTTTCTTGTTAAAATAAATTACGAAAGAAATTTATACTAATTTGATGAAATATTCTCCATTAAATTTGCATAACTTCGCCTTTAATTTTTTTAATTAATTATTTAAATTAAAATCTTAAATAGAAAAATTTGAAACAATTTAAGTAATTTCTTAATCTTCATAAATATATTGCATTAAAAAGAAGATATTTTTTATTTACGTAATTTATTAATTTTTCTTGAATATTGTGTGAAAAAGAAGATATTTTTTTATACTAATTTATTTTTAAAGTGAGTATAATAAATTTTATTATTATAAGTTAATCATTTTAGAAAATGATAGATACAAATTTATTTATTTATTTATTTATTTTTATAATCAATTGATAATAATTATAAAATTAAGGTAAATGGTATAATTAATATTTAAATAAGAAAAAATATAATAAAAAATAATTTAATGAGAAATGACAAATTAATAAAAATGATAAAATAGTCTTTTGTGATGAGTATGTCCTTAATTGTAACAAATCAATAATTTAGAAAGACAGTCTTTAATTTGGAGGCTTAATTACAAAAAGTCAATAATTTATGAAATTTTTTTACACTTTACCCTTTATAATATTTCCAATTTAATATTTTTACATTAAACCTATACAAAATAAACTACTGTATCACATTACTAAATAAAAATGAAATTGAGGGAATAGTATTTTATCTGAAGGCAGGAGACTGTGGGCCCTAGCGGCGGACACTTGGGATTTGGGATTGTGGGTGAGGTTAAAAGCGGGCCTGGCCCATGCGGGTGCCAGTAAGGCTGTCGTCACGTTGAACCATGAATTTGGTCTACATACTACGTGTCAACTGTCATCTCATAACTGGTCGCAGTAGGATTTAAAGGACGAGAGAAGTTCTTTTTTACCTTTGCGTTTTTCACATCTGAGTCTGCAAAAGAAAAATCCAATCTCTTTTACTGAATCGGATGGTCTGCAATCATCGCACGTTTTATGAAACGCACGCACAGTATTTGTGGACTGTCCGATACCATGAGCTCCGCGGATCCCACTTGTTCATTAATTTTGCACAAGATTCAATTTTCTGTTTCTGGTCAAAGCAAACATATGTAATTATTGTTTGGGCTCTGATCATACGCTTGCACGTGCACAAATGTCAGATTGAATAAATTTAGAAGAGGACCAGGTTATGAGATTTTTTCACTTTTTTATTTTTGAAAATTAATTTTCAAATTGAATAATGAAGACAATTCACCAAATAATTTTGTTTGTGATAAATCCATTTCTTTTCCTTTTTTAATGTATATGACAAAAATGCCCCCTAACACTTTATTTTATTTTGTATAATTTGAGAACAATTATGTCATTTCACTATAAAATTGGAGTGGATTTATTTATAAAAAAAGTGGAGGGAACGAATATAATTAATACTATTTGATAAGTACACTTTTTTTAGCATTACCTTCTAAGATAAGCCTCATGTATTTATCAGAAGTAAGAGAAAAAAATCCCACAATTGAAAAAAAAAAAAAAAAAAAAAAAAAAAAAAAAAAAAAAAAAAAAACACATCAGGTGATAAGGAAGGACAAAAATTACAAGTAATGAGATAATTAAACTGTCCTTTCATGGGGGGTATAAATCCACATGTAGCAAACAACACTTTCGGAAATCCCTTTTTCAGAAAGGAAAAAAAAAACTTAGACTAAAGCGTGTGTGTGTGTGTGTGTATATAAAGAGAGGCTCCAGGAAAATACTCATCCTAGATGTAAGAAGCACATATTTCCTTCCTACTCGCGGAATATATTCATCTTTAATTAGTTCTTTTTATGGGAATATATACAAAATATTCTTCTGCTTATATATATTGTGCATTTCACACTTCAGTGGAATATATACCCTTCATTACTTACTTTAAAACGTTTTTCCTTATTATTTTTTATTTAAATCAATGATAAGAGAATCAAACCTTTAATCGCATCATTTTTATTAATGTTTGGTTTGGTATGAGCTAGGAAGGATAGGATGGATGGAACAAGGCTCCGTGGTTTGGTAGAAAAGGGTGAGTAGGAGGGAAGGTTGAGAGAGAATTTCAGCAGTACGTTTACAAGTGATTTTGTAAATAGTTAAAGGTTAATATTGGAATTAGAATTTCTTCTTCTTTTTTTGCCGCCTCTCTTTGGCCCAATTTTGAATGAAAAATCATGGATTAGGAGGATGCTTCATCTCCTATTGCTTCGTCCCTTCCTTCTAATCAAATAAGAGAATTTTTTCTATCCCTCCTTTCTTCCAACCAAAAACATAAGAGAAGAAGAGGGGGGAAAAAAATTTGTTAGATAAATTTTAAAAATAATGTCCATTTTTGTATTTAACGCCTTGCCAAAGTCTTTTTTTTTTTTTTTTAGATGTTACGGCTCTAACCTCTCTTTTCCTTTTTGGGGTGAAAAAGTTATATTATTGAACTAGAGGCTCTTTGGTTGCCAAAGTCATAACTATAATTCTATGCTTACTTTCGCAATGTAAATTTGGAGCCAAAATGTCCAATGAATTGTTTTAAATGAAAGTGAAATGAAACAAATTGAAACACCAAAGAGCTAGCTCATAAGATGGTTCTTTAATCACATGCATGAGATAATTTGTAAGAGAAAAACAATACAGTGATGCAGATGCTAGCTTTTCTGATATACAAATGAATATCAGAAAATAAATTGTAGTTGATACAATTTCATTGACAAAATAAGCTCATGGGGCACTATAATAAATTAATATCCCTAATACGTACTTCTCTAGCTTTGGCATTTACAATTGGAGAGAGAGAGAGAGAGAGAGAGAGAGAGCTGGCTATGCTAATAATTTAGGATGAATAATGTAAGAAAGATATATGGATCAATGAATAATGTGGATGCATTTTAGTCATGCGAGCGGAGAAGCAGGACTACGCATCTCCTCAAAATGTAGAGTCTTCCTCTCTGCTCCCTCAGAAACCTCCCTAGTCTCTTGCCAGCTGGTAACCTTTTCTTTGTGCGTTCCATGCTTTCACTCATCATCTTCATCATATCAATATATCTATCTATATATATCACCCTCTTTTCTTTGCTAGAGAAAGAGTGTGTGTGTGTGTGTGAGAGAGAGAGAGAGAGAATGCTGTTGCACTGGTACAGTTTGAAGTGGGAGCAATGGTCCTTTTTATAGAGGAGGAGATGCGTGGTCTGGTCACTAATAAGTTACAAGGACAAAACAAAACCATATACGTATGTTTGTGCCGCGTCACCACCTCCACCTGCACTAATATTTATGTGCGCGTCATTCACCAATATAAGTTGGTCGGCCAAAAATGACAAGTTAGCCAGTTTCCGCGAAATTATGTTTCTATATGATAGATGATAATTAAAATTTTACCATGAAGAATTATAATCTTGACAATATATATATATATACATACATACATATTAGCTCTATATATATATTAGCTGAGACTTACTTTTCCTTATCACGTTGTTTGACTTCATGGCACGTGCATATAAAATAACTTAAAATTTGGATAGGTCCTCCTCTATATATATTAGCATATACTCTGTATGGAACCTCATATATGATATATATATTCTTTTCATAAGACAAATTACATATGCATCTTTGTATAGTTGGTAGAAGTAGGAAATATCAGTTGGATTTAGCAGGCAAGTGCATATGGTTAAGGCACTTTTCCTTCTCTTCAATCAAGAGGAGATTGCAGGCATGCCTGATGAAATCCAAGTTATATATTTTAAATGTTGCAACTCTCCCAACCTCCCTCTTTATTGTTTTCTGTTATGGCAATTTCTTCTTAGGGCCTGTTTGTTATGTGTTTTACTTTGGTGTTTTTGTTGCAGGGCTTCATTTTAGGCCCATAAACATGTTTGGTGACACTTATTTTGTTTTAAACAGTACAAAAATATTGTTTTAAACAGTGCTGAATTTGGGTCCAAAAGTGAAACACCAAAATGGTGTTTTTGGTTGTTTCAGTACTGTAACCCAATAAAAAACACTGTAGTGGATGAAGTAAGTTGGTCCAATACTGTAGCGGATGAAGTAGCCTTAAAACGGATTTGCAACATTTTGGCCTGATGTTTTCTCTCTCCTCTGAAACCCTAGAGAAGCGATTTGGGAGGCAATTTGGGAGGCGACGAAAAGGAATCGCGATATACTGTGAGTACTGTCTTCTATTTCCCTTTCTTTGTTGTTTCCTTTGATGTTGTTTCCAAATCTGTAAGCACGAAGTCCAAATCTGTAAAGAAAATCTATACGTATACTCTCATATAGTCACAAAGACGAATTTCTTTCGACTCTCTCTCTCTTTCTCTCTCTGGTATAAAAATTGTCAAGGATTTGTGCTTTTGGGCGCCATGGAAGGCTCTTCTGCTCCGCCGTCGAATTCAAACCAACCGGACGGCGGAGCCTCCATATTTCTCGCCGATCTTCCCTCTCGCGGCCTGTTCTCCTCCACTGTCCTCTCTTCAAATCCGGTGATTTCTTTCACAACAACCTGTATGTCGAATTCTACACCACACACACAAACACTCACATGTGCGTGTTTGCTGATACATGTATGTATATATATAAATTGGGGCTCCTTATGTCTTGTATTCTTTTGTGGGTGGTTATTACCTTGTGTTTTTCTGATTGGAGCTAAGGTGGGTGGTAGTTTGTATCTCTAGTCTCTATAATTGCTATTGGGTTACATCTACCAAGAGTGTGATTTTCAGTAATTAATTGTTGCTGAGGAAGTAAATGTAGTGATTAATTATTGATTACTGAGCAAGTTTGTGGTGTTTCTATTCAAGCTTGTCGTGGACTGGTTGACAACAACAACTGGGAATGCTAGTACTCTGGCTGCATTTACCACTGCTAATTCAACTGTTTTAGCTCTTTTCGTGAGCCCAGCAGCCGTTCTAATAATCATATGAATTAGGTTTGTTGAGCTCTCTTTTCTTTTATACGGAGTATTTTAGAAAAAGATAAAAGTAATAATTTCATATTTTTATTTCTCTCTATTCAATTATTTGGATTTTGAATTCGGAAATGGTATTATGGAAAATTCTCTGATCTAATGCAGTTAAAGTCTCTAGCTTTTCAATTTCTTTTTTTATTTTTCCCAGAAATCGACGATGGCGATGAGGAATTTGTTGTGTCTTGTTAGTTTATAATTAAATGGTCTGATATGCAAAATATAGTAAATATTGAACTCCTAATACAAAATATAGTTAATAATGAACTCAAATAATTTAGATATAAGACTTGAGGATTCCTTAATGTGGTTATGATTCTGACATACTAACAGAAAAGAAGTATGATGATGGTCTTGAGAAGTAATTGATTACCAAGTGAGTAGGTTTGATTGTCACAATAGGAGACTTAATTGGTTGATGAAGAGAGATAAGTGCATATTGAAATTTAAATTTGACTTATCAAAAAGATTGTCAAAATTCAGATATATAGAGAACTTAATGAATTGAGATGTACTCTTTTATAAGCAAATCCCAAATGGTGATATTATTGTTTGGAAATTTTAAGTAGATGCTTTATCCACTCAATCGAAGGCTTAAAGTTGTTTATTGTATGCATTTTATGAATTCCGGGATCATTTTGGTCTTACACCTTTCTTCCTAGCTAGTCCCATATAATCAGATTATCCATCCCAATGTGCATATATGTTTGCTCTCTAAGTTTCTTTCTATCAATTTACCTGGTGGTATGATTGTTTATTCATATATGGACGTCGTCTAACTTTGACGGCTGTTGGTAGCTTACAAGTAACAAGTAGAATTATGAGATCTCTAATTCAATCTGTGAAGCATAAAATCAACTAAAGTAAGCATACTCTAGTTTCAGCAAAGAGTCAGGAAGATGGATGTGAATGTATAGAACGTCACACTGTCACAAGCATTTAAATCACTGCCTTGCGCAAGTAGCTCTATTGTACAGTGACTTTGCTATCTGAAATTATTGAAATAAATATCATCCTTAAAAAGAGACAGTGGTAATAAGATTAGATGGGAATCGCCTACTTGGGAGCTTGTAGACTAATAGTAAAGTGTAGCGAGCTTGTAGAGTAATAGTAAAGTGTAGCGTGCTTGAAAGAGGTAGATGCTGTAGAATGTGTGACTAAACTTCTAGGAAATATTTTGAACTTTTACTCTTCACATATGATTCTGGGTACCTTTTGGGTCAGCAAAGTCTTGACGAATGTCATGCGTAGTTGATTTAGGTAGAGCCAGTCAGAACCAAAGATCTAACACCTGTTTACTGAACAGCCATTCTGCCCTTGTGAGTTAGGCTTGTCCTTACTGGGTGATCATTGTTGGACCTTCAGAAGATATTTATTCATGTAGGTCGACTCTTAATTTTCCTCTTAACCATGGAAAATATGTGTGGAACTTTTGGAAAGTTCCAAGTTCTGCTCTTTCTATTTTTTATTCTTTTGGTCTGCAGGAAATGTGACATGTATGCAAACTCAAACACTCTTCAACAGGAGGCTCCGTGGCATGACTTATCAAAAAATGAGACTCCACGGCATGCTGCACAGTTGTAGTATAGAAAATTGGCTTGGGAGCTTGGGAGTGACATGGTTACAGAGTTTCCAATTAGATTAGGCGATACGCATATATAAAATGACAAGGTTCAAGGTTATACAAATCTATAAAAGGATAAGAAAAATATGAATAATTAAGTGGATGCATAACATGTAAGTATGCTACAATATTAAATGATAAATATCCCATACAATCGAAAATATACTGTTATTGATATGGATTTTTAATTAAAAGTTTATCTAGAAGCAAAAGTTTCTCAAAACTCTCCAAATCATTTTCTTGTAAAGTTTGTGGCATATTTAATCAAGAATTGAGCACTTTTAAGTAAAATATGCATAAGTTCAGAAGAATATCTGCATCTTTTACTCTTATTGAATTTAGGATTTCTAGAATAAGAAAACACAATTATTAGTGAAATTTTGTGACTAAGAGTGCTTCCCTTCTCCTCTCACGTATGTGTATATATATACAATTACTATTACAATGAAATGACCATATTTCCCTTTAGTAAAATACCTAATATTGTAACATTTATCACCAATTTCTCCTTTCTCTTCTTGTTTTTTGTATTTTATATTTTCATTCAGTATTCTTAATTAAATTCATGAATCAGTAGTTGTGATAGAGTAACTTTAATACCATCAATAGTTTTTCCTAGTTTAATATTATTTTTTTTTTTTGTTATTAATTATAGTGTTGTTATTAATATGTTAGATGGATGTGAATATTGAGAATGTGGAACAATGCGGTGATTCTCTCACAATTGAAGAAGTGATTGAAGTTACGAACGATGGAAAATTGTTATGGGATGAGTCACTCATTGAAAAATTCGTGAATATTATGGTGGAAGAAGTTAAAGCTAATAATCGTAGTGGCACAACATTTAATAAAAGTGGTTGGAGTAATTTAGTCAAACAAATGAATGTTCAAACGGGGAGAAAATTTGGTTTAACCCAACTTCGGAATAAGTTTAATGGTTTGAGGAAAATTTATACTGAGTTTAAGAAATTATTATCGGAGACTAACGTGGGATATAACCATGAGACGGGCATGGTTATAGTTGAGGAAGAGAGATGGGACAGGTTGTGTAATACCCCGTAATTTTAAAGAATGTATTTAAATTAATTAATTTTATTTAAAGTTCATTTACTTGTGCATGTAAATTAATTGTGTATGTTAAAATAAGTAAATTTGTTCATGTAATTATGCATGTATTCTTATTAATAATTTTATTTGTTGGTTATGCTTATATTAATCATTATTAGTTAAGTAAAGTATTATATTTGTGTTATATAGTATTATGATGATATAATGTAGTATTTTGTAATAATAATAATTATATTAGTTTAATAATAATAATAATAATAATAATAATAATAATATAAATAATAATAATTATAAAAGTTTTATTAATAATAATATTAGTAATAATAATATTAAATCAAGGTAATGATGAAAAATTAAATACTAGGATAGAATTTCATTTACTATGGTAGAATGGTGGATCAAATATCTTGATTAAAGATAGCATTGTCTTAAAGCCATATAGGTAGGAATATGAGAAATGGGTGAGAAGTTATTATAAATTAGATATTTGTATTATATATATTATATAAGTTTGTATATATATATTAGTAGCCAACTTACTCTAAAGGCAACTTACTTAAGTTAGAAAGCTTAAACATTCTAGTGAGCTATTTTATAAAAGTGAAAGGAAAAGAGAAAGAGAAAGAAGCTTGAACCGGTGTAGGCGATTTTACCCGACTACGCGCAACCGGCGGATTTATTTTAAATCCAAAAAGGCAAGTTATTATCTATTTTTCCCCTTTGAATCCATAAATTATTCATTTAATTTATTTCGGGTTTTTAGAGACTAGAAACCATGCTAGGAGTTGCAATAAATTATTTTTAGTTTATTAAAATATTGTGTTTTAATTATTAAAGAGGTTAGTTATTTATTTATTAGCCTATGTAATTAAAATATAGCTGAAAATAATTAAATAAGGCTTTAGGGATTTTTCTAGAATTTTCTAGATTTTTCCGGGGTTTTTCTGCAATTTCCGGCGAGCCTCCGGCGAGGATTCCGGTCACCGGCAGTGGGGAAGACAACCGGAGTAATCCGGTGTGAGGCAGCGCACAGGGGTTCCCATGCGCTTGCATCAGCAGCCGTTGGATTAACTATTGACCACTAGATTGATTCTATGTAGCATAGTGTACAATAATAGCATACGCGCACTTCAGGGACCATTGGATTAAAGGATGATCATTAAGATCAATCCAGTGTAGCGCGCCCACATAGAAACGGTACAACCGACCAACCAGAACACGCCACGTCAGCAGGAACCATTAATGCGCGCGTGGCAGCGCGTGCGCGCGCGTGGCTGATGCCAGACGCGCGTGGAGGCGCGTGTGCGCGCGTGAGAGGGTGGAAAACATAGGGCTGCGCGTGGGGAAGCTTAGGGCGGCGCGTGGGGGCGCGTGAGGGGCCCTGTCAGCTGCTGGAAATTACCAGAATACCCCTAGGCCTGTTTTGTAATTTCCAGAACCTTAAACTTGCACTTTTGGGCCTATGGTTGGTACTTACGGGTTTAACGGGACATTAAATTATTATTTTATTAACCGTTAGTTATTATTATGTCCGATTAATATTTTTAAATATTAATTGTATCGTTTTCAATACAGATCACCATTAAACGGATGTAGTTAATTTAATGACATTGTTAATCATTAATTGTGTTATTATTTTATTAAACAGTATTAAATCATTAATGTTAAAATTAAATGATTACATGGTTTTAATTCAAATAAATTGTCCGTTATACATTGCAGGATTATTTATGTTGTTAATGATATACAAACCATGATTATTATGCTGTGTGCATTTCAGGAAATAAATGGACTGTTTAATTATGTCGCATTTATATTATATGGATGTGTTGCCATATAGAACCATATGAGCTGGCTAATAAGTTTATACTCATTTATACCTTATGCATTCGTTGCGATAGACAGATGTGTGGCTGTTGGGGTATGTGGTTTAATATTATTGGCATGTGTTGCCTAATTGACATACTAGGTATATTTATTAATAATGTTGGCATATGTTGCCTAATTTATATGCTCAGTATAGTCATCAGTACTTTGCGAGGTGTTATCATTGTGTAGTTCGTTATAGTCTGTGTTGTCAGTACCGTGCACCATGTATAATAGTTGATTTCCCGGGTAGGGAAAGGCGACACTTGACCACCTAGTGTGAGTCTAAGTGATCACCGTCTATTCTGGTTGAGGTCATGTTATACATCGGATAGTTCCCGTAGGATGTATACAGATATAGTACTCAACCGATTCATAATGATTAATTTATTTGATTCTCTGATTTGGGTCATAGTAGAGAGGACTTGCTCGTGGGGTTAACCCACCATTGTTGTTATTTCAGGATACGGACAGTATCCGTTTCAAGGCTGAGGTTAGCAGTGTGGGACTATCATCCGAACTCATCTACTCTTACGATCCAGTGCAGGGTAGAAGTTTTATGTAATACTTCAGTTTCAGTTTTTATTTACTTTTGACGTTGAACTCTCAGGGTTATATTTAGGGATCCTTGACATAGGATTTCCAAGATGTAATGAAGTACGGTATTAAATAAAGGATGGATGGATGTTGTATTATTTAGTGTTCATTTCCTGTCTAAATTCTTTTATTATCATCATTTTGTATTCCATGCTTGTATATTGCCAATTGTTTTTGATATCCCTCGTTTTTCGTGTATAAGCCTGATCAACTTATGCGTGGAAAATGTGGGGGGTGTTACAGTTGGTATCAGAGCATTCCAGGTTCGAGTGTCTTAGGGATCTGTGATTACTATACTTCCGCGTTGTGTATTCTGATAATTAGAGCCTAAGTATTAGGGGTCTTTGTATTCTTTTAGTCGGTCCATTATAATGTACTGACGTTAGATTTTTCTGAATTTAAAAGAAGGATGTCTCGGCGTGGGACAAGGAATGCGAACCGTCATCGCAGTATTTCCCCAACTCAAAATGAGAATCAGGAATTTTCTCCTCAAGTTGCTGATATCATTGCACGAGCTGTAGCAGCAGGAGTAGCATCTGCTCTACGAAACCAGCAACCTCCTCCGATAGTACCTGTTCCTGAACCAGTGGCACAGCCAATGTCATGGGACAAAGTTCGTCACTCGTTCATCCGGGGAAATCCACCAACGTTTGCGGGGTCCACAGATGTCCTGTTAGCATATCAGTGGAAACAGGAGAGCGAGCGTCATCTTCGGATGGTAATCTGTACCGAAGTGCAGAAACAGATGCTGGCTACGTTTATGCTGATAAGCAATGCATTGCAGTGGTGGGAGTCTATTACTACTGTCGATGAGAGGACCAGATTGACGTATGCTGAATTTCAGACTCGCTTTGACGACAAGTATTTTCCTATGTCAGTAAGATCAGCGATGAAGACTGAATTTCTGGATCTGCAACAGGAAGATATGACTGTGGCTGAGTATGAACAGAAGTTTATTAATTTGTCATTATTTGCACCAGAGGAGGTCAATACGGAAGAAAAGAAGCGAGACCGCTTTGTGAAGGGGTGAAGGGGTTGATATGGCCGATTAAAGTGGTGATCTTAGGTAGTCCGGCATATACTACTTATATCCAGGTGGTTAATGCCGCCTTACAGCACTGCCAGATGAGGAGTGATTACCGGAAGTCCAAGGGAGATAAGCGGACTAACCGAGACTACCAGACAGTGGAGAAAGGAAGCAACAGTGGTGCCAAGTCCAATGATCGGGGCAGATTTCAAGGACATCAACCTTGGAAGAAAAACAAAGGAAACCCAGATGTGCAGAGGGATGGAGTCCCTAATCAGGGTAGACAAGGTGGGATACCTCAGACCGGACAGGAACAGTGGTCGGGAAGTCAACAGAGGAGGCAGGCAGGTCCTTTTATGGGACGTTGTTATCACTGTAGAGAGATTGGGCATCTGGCCAAGATGTGTCCCACAGCTAAGCAGGGACAGTATGGGCAGCCAAGACCTAATCAGCCGTTACCTCTACCGGCCCCACCGATGCCACGTGGGCAAGTTCAGAATTTTCCGACACTTCCAGCACCACCATTTCCTCCGGGACAACCTCCACAGCAGTTGCATCATGGCAGAGTTTATAACTTCATGCCACATAATGCGCAGGCTCCTCAGGCTATTGAGGGTATGTTTTCTATACATGGTAGAACTGCTCGTATACTATTTGACACTGGTGCCTCACATTCTTTTGTGTCTAGATCTTTTGTTATCTTATCTGGTATGACGACCCAGTTATGTGACCAACCTCTTAATATTTATACACCATTGGGAGTTGGCGCAATTTTACGAGAGTATAGCGGTGATATCCTTATAGATATGGGCCGGCTTCGATTTCTTGCAAATTTGTTAGTGTTAGATATGCATTCGTATGATGTTATACTTGGGATGGACTGGTTATCTCAGTACCATGCTCAGGTTAACTGTTACGAAAAGTCTATTGTATTTTCTATACCAGGACAGGAGATGTATCTCCTTGTTGTACCACAACCTGATAGAGGGCCTAGCACTTATTTATTCGTTCTTGAGGAGGACTCACAGGAAGCGACTGTGGTATCTCTTGACAGCATCCCGGTAGTACAGGAATTCCAGGATGTATTCCAAGAAATTCCAGGTTTGCCACCGAGTCGAGAGATAGACTTCGTTATTGATTTAGCTCCAGGCACTACGCCTATTGCTAAGGTGCCATACAGAATGGCACCAGTAGAGATGCGAGAGTTGAAGGATCAAATTCAGCAGCTGCTCAGCCAGGGATTTATTCGTAGGAGTACTTCACCATGGGAAGCACCAGTACTGTTTGTAAAGAAGAAGGATGGATCTCTTCGTCTTTGTATTGATTACAGAGAACTGAACAAGGTCACTATTCGCAACAAGTACCCGTTGCCCAGAATTGATGACCTGTTTGATCAGTTGAAGGGAGCTACTTACTTCTCAAAGATCGATTTGAGGTCTGGTTATCATCAGCTACGAGTCAGAGAACAAGATGTTCCAAAGACAGCATTTCTCACGAGGTACGGATCTTATGAGTTTCGTATTATGCCTTTCGGTTTAACGAACGCTCCAGCTGTCTTTATGGACTTGATGAATAGAGTATTCAGAGAATACTTAGATCAGTTTGTCATTGTTTTCATTGATGATATTCTGGTTTACTCTAAGTCGGAGAAGGACCATGCCAGACATTTACGCACAGTATTGCAGACACTTCGAGAACATCAGTTGTTTGCGAAGTTTGAGAAGTGTGAATTTTGGCAGAAAGAGGTCAAATTTCTGGGACATGTAGTGTCAGAAGAAGGGTTAGCAGTAAATCCAGCCAAGGTTGCGGCCGTTATGGAGTGGGGACAGCCTACCTCACCGACAGAGATTCGCAGTTTTCTGGGATTGGCGGGGTATTATCGCCGGTTCATCCAGGGATTTTCCAAAATTGCGGGTCCACTTACTCATCTGACTAAGAAGAATGTACCATTTGTATGGGATGATTCTTGTCAGACTGCTTTTGCTGAATTGAAGAGCAAGTTAACTTCTGCACCTGTCTTAGCCACACCTCAGAGTGGAATCGAGTATTTAGTATTTACCGACGCTTCTCTGAAGGGTTTGGGTTGTGTGTTGATGCAAGAAGAGCGACCAGTTTCTTATGGGTCTAGGAAGCTTAAGCCTTATGAGCTTAATTACCCGACTCACGATCTAGAGCTCGCAGCAGTGGTTTTTGCCTTGCGTATTTGGAGACATTATCTTTTGGCGGAGACTTTTCGATTGTTTAGCGATCATAAGAGTCTACAGTATTTGTTCACACAGAGGGAACTGAATATGAGACAGCGCAGATGGTTGGAATTCGTGAAAGACTATCACTTCTCTATTCAGTATCATCCAGGGAAAGCGAATGTTGTAGCAGACGCACTCAGCCGCCGACCCTATGTCAGCCTGTCAGCTTTGTTTACAACAGAGTGGGATGCTTTGAAGACGGTTGATGAGTTAGCAGACGCTTTTATGGCATGTGTGGTAGTAACTCCTTCTATCATTCATCAGGTCATTCAAGCGCAACTCTCAGATCAACAGTGTATTGATCGGGTTTCGGAGTTAGCCTCCGGAGATGTTCCTTTTTATTCTATAGGGACTGATGGAGGATTGAGGTACAAGGGACGTTTAATTGTGCCTTCAGCTGACAATTTGAGAAATGTTGTGATGAGAGAGACACACACTTCTCAGTTCTCGGTACATCCAGGGGGAGATAAGATGTATCAGGACATGAAACGCCAGTTTTGGTGGGCCGGCATGAAAAGAGATATAGCTATCTTTGTCTCTAAATGTAGCACCTGTCAGATGATTAAGATTGATCATCAGAGACCGCCAGGATCGTTACAGCCACTTCCCATACCAGAATGGAAATGGGAAAGTATTTCCATGGACTTTATAGAGGGATTACCTACTTCACAGCATAATCACAACTCTATTTGGGTCATTGTTGATAGATTGACCAAGTCCGCTCACTTTCTGCCTGTTCGGTCAAACTTTACGTCAGAACAGTATGCTAAGCTGTATATTGCAGAAATGGTGAAACTTCATGGTGTACCATTGTCCATCGTATCAGATAGAGATCCGAAGTTTGTATCAGGATTTTGGAGGAGCTTTCAGCAGGCTTTGGGTACAGAACTATATCTTAGCACTGCTTATCATCCTCAAACAGATGGACAGACTGAGCGAGTTAATCAGATTTTAGAAGACATGTTGCGGGCATGTGTTCTTGATTTTAAGGGCAATTGGGAGGAATATTTGCCGCTTTCAGAGTTTGCTTATAACAATAGTTATCAGAAAACTATTGGTATGGCACCATTTGAGGCTTTGTACGGCAGACCGTGTAGGTCGCCTGTCTGTTGGCTTGGAGTTGGTGAGAACAGTTTTTTGGGTCCTGAATTTATTAAGGACACGTCAGAAAAGATCGCTATCATTAGGGATCGGATGCGTACAGCTCAAAGCAGACAGAAAAGTTATGCTGACCGTCGAACTCGTGCTTTGGAGTTTAAGGTTGGTGATCAGGTTTTGCTTAAGGTTTCTCCTATGAAGGGAGTAATGCGGTTTGGGTCAAAGGGTAAGTTATCGCCTCGTTTTGTGGGTCCTTTTATGATTACTGATCGGATTGGGGCAGTAGCTTATCGTCTGGCTCTACCAGATAATCTTCATAGGGTACATAATGTTTTTCATGTATCTATGCTGCGAAAATTTCTACGGGATGAAGATCGATACCAACACATTGATGTGGGTGAGATTGAGTTGCAACCCGATGCAACCTATTTGGAACAACCTTACTGTATTCTCGATCGTAGGAATCAGATACTGCGCACGAAGACTATTCCATTAGTACGTGTACAGTGGAGCCATCATAGTGCTACAGAGTCTACTTGGGAACGGGAAGATATTATCCGTGCCAAGTATCCAGAACTTTTTAAGACAGGTATGTAGTGAATTTCGGGGACGAAATTCCTTTATTAGGGGGGGAGAATGTAATACCCCGTAATTTTAAAGAATGTATTTAAATTAATTAATTTTATTTAAAGTTCATTTACTTGTGCATGTAAATTAATTGTGTATGTTAAAATAAGTAAATTTGTTCATGTAATTATGCATGTATTCTTATTAATAATTTTATTTGTTGGTTATGCTTATATTAATCATTATTAGTTAAGTAAAGTATTATATTTGTGTTATATAGTATTATGATGATATAATGTAGTATTTTGTAATAATAATAATTATATTAGTTTAATAATAATAATAATAATAATAATAATAATAATATAAATAATAATAATTATAAAAGTTTTATTAATAATAATATTAGTAATAATAATATTAAATCAAGGTAATGATGAAAAATTAAATACTAGGATAGAATTTCATTTACTATGGTAGAATGGTGGATCAAATATCTTGATTAAAGATAGCATTGTCTTAAAGCCATATAGGTAGGAATATGAGAAATGGGTGAGAAGTTATTATAAATTAGATATTTGTATTATATATATTATATAAGTTTGTATATATATATTAGTAGCCAACTTACTCTAAAGGTAACTTACTTAAGTTAGAAAGCTTAAACATTCTAGTGAGCTATTTTATAAAAGTGAAAGGAAAAGAGAAAGAGAAAGAAGCTTGGACCGGTGTAGGCGATTTAACTCGACTACGCGCAACCGGCGGATTTATTTTAAATCCAAAAAGGCAAGTTATTATCTATTTTTCCCCTTTGAATCCATAAATTATTCATTTAATTTATTTCGGGTTTTTAGAGACTAGAAACCATGCTAGGAGTTGCAATAAATTATTTTTAGTTTATTAAAATATTGTGTTTTAATTATTAAAGAGGTTAGTTATTTATTTATTAGCCTATGTAATTAAAATATAGCTGAAAATAATTAAATAAGGCTTTAGGGATTTTTCTAGAATTTTCTAGATTTTTCCGGGGCTTTTCTGCAATTTCCGGCGAGCCTCCGGCGAGGATTCCGGTCACCGGCAGTGGGGAAGACAACCGGAGTAATCCGGTGTGAGGCAGCGCACAGGGGTTCCCATGCGCTTGCATCAGCAGCCGTTGGATTAACTATTGACCACTAGATTGATTCTATGTAGCATAGTGTACAATAATAGCATACGCGCACTTCAGGGACCATTGGATTAAAGGATGATCATTAAGATCAATCCAGTGTAGCGCGCCCACATAGAAACGGTACAACCGACCAACCAGAACACGCCACGTCAGCAGGAACCATTAATGCGCGCGTGGCAGCGCGTGCGCGCGCGTGGCTGATGCCAGACGCGCGTGGAGGCGCGTGTGCGCGCGTGAGAGGGTGGAAAACATAGGGCTGCGCGTGGGGAAGCTTAGGGCGGCGCGTGGGGGCGCGTGAGGGGCCCTGTCAGCTGCTGGAAATTACCAGAATACCCCTAGGCCTGTTTTGTAATTTCCAGAACCTTAAACTTGCACTTTTGGGCCTATGGTTGGTACTTACGGGTTTAACGGGACATTAAATTATTATTTTATTAACCGTTAGTTATTATTATGTCCGATTAATATTTTTAAATATTAATTGTATCGTTTTCAATACAGATCACCATTAAACGGATGTAGTTAATTTAATGACATTGTTAATCATTAATTGTGTTATTATTTTATTAAACAGTATTAAATCATTAATGTTAAAATTAAATGATTACATGGTTTTAATTCAAATAAATTGTCCGTTATACATTGCAGGATTATTTATGTTGTTAATGATATACAAACCATGATTATTATGCTGTGTGCATTTCAGGAAATAAATGGACTGTTTAATTATGTCGCATTTATATTATATGGATGTGTTGCCATATAGAACCATGTGAGCTGGCTAATAAGTTTATACTCATTTATACCTTATGCATTCGTTGCGATAGACAGATGTGTGGCTGTCGGGGTATGTGGTTTAATATTATTGGCATGTGTTGCCTAATTGACATACTAGGTATATTTATTAATAATGTTGGCATATGTTGCCTAATTTATATGCTCAGTATAGTCATCAGTACTTTGCGAGGTGTTATCATTGTGTAGTTTGTTATAGTCTGTGTTGTTAGTACCGTGCACCATGTATAATAGTTGATTTCCCGGGTAGGGAAAGGCGACACTTGACCACCTAGTGTGAGTCTAAGTGATCACCGTCTATTCTGGTTGAGGTCATGTTATACATCGGATAGTTCCCGTAGGATGTATACAGATATAGTACTCAACCGATTCATAATGATTAATTTATTTGATTCTCTGATTTGGGTCATAGTAGAGAGGACTTACTCGTGGGGTTAACCCACCATTGTTGTTATTTCAGGATACGGACAGTATCCGTTTCAAGGCTGAGGTTAGCAGTGTGGGACTATCATCCGAACTCATCTACTCTTACGATCCAGTGCAGGGTAGAAGTTTTATGTAATACTTCAGTTTCAGTTTTTATTTACTTTTGACGTTGAACTCTCAGGGTTATATTTAGGGATCCTTGACATAGGATTTCCAAGATGTAATGAAGTACGGTATTAAATAAAGGATGGATGGATATTGTATTATTTAGTGTTCATTTCCTGTCTAAATTCTTTTATTATCATCATTTTGTATTCCATGCTTGTATATTGCCAATTGTTTTTGATATCCCTCGTTTTTGGTGTATAAGCCTGATCAACTTATGCGTGAAAAATGTGGGGGGTGTTACAGGTTGTGCAAGGTTAGTAATTTAATTATTAGTCCTAAATAAATAATAAAATCTTGTATATTATTGGTTATGTGGTTAATATTATAACAAAATTTGTAGGTTGTTACGAATACAAATAAGTATAAAAAGTATGGATGTAAGCATTTTGACAAGATGTCGACTATATTTGGGAACACATATGCAAAAGGGATGCATGCCCACCCATCCACTACAGCACCACCCACAATCATTTTGCCCACTCCCAATGATGACGATGATGAGGAAAAGGGTTATGAGGTCAGTCCCCCACCTTTACGTAAAGGTAAGAAAGCCAAAAGAGATGCTTTATCTCCTGGTATAGCTGCACTCTTGTCAAACATGAATGAGAATTTTGAGAGGAGAGCTGAGAAAATGGAAGCTGCAATAGAGAAAGCAGCTAAAGCATCTTCTACTTCTACTCATGTATCTTCATGTGAGAAAGGAGATGATGAAGCTCTCTCTCCCTCAAAAAATGATAGAGATTATGAAATGTTTGATGCCTCCACGCTCCTTTTACAAAAAATACCTGGAATTGAGATGGCCCAATTCGCTAAGGTATCGAAGTTATTACATGATTCTGAGAAGTGGCAGAAATTTTTTCTTTCGGCACCTGAGGATGTAAGAATTGGTTGGGCATTGAATGTTTGAGTTTTTCTTTATGGATGATTGTGTTTTGTGTCATCGTTTAACTTATTACTATCTCACATTTGGATGACTGTAATAACTTAAATACTTTTATTATCTCACATTTGGATGACTGTAATAACTTAAATATTTTTATTATCTCACATCTGAATGACTGTAATAACTTAAATACTTTTATTATCTCACATTTAGATTACTGTAATAACTTAAATATTTTTATTATTTCACATCTGGATTGCTGTAATAACTTAAATACTTTTATTATCTCACATTTGGATGGTTATAATAACTTAAATAATTTTATTTCTTGGATGCCTGTTAGTACTCAAATACTTTAATACCATTATTTAAATGTTTGTTTTATTATTTAAATGTTTTGTTTATTATTTAATTGATTTGCTTATTAACTTAAATGTTTTGCTTGTATTAAATCTTTAAATAGGGTAATGGATATGTGGAACAATATAAGAAGAATAATTCAATTATATGACGATGAGGAGGATAATGAGAGTGTCTTAATATTTGCTGCTCTTTTAGAAGAGCAGAACTTCTATCAAAAGAGGCGTTGTAGGGATTCCATTTTACAAGGGGAAACATATGTTATGGAGATTTTAAACGGCCATAGAGAAAGATGTTATGAAAATTTTAGGATGTACCCTGAAGTTTTCAGAACATTGTGTAGTACCCTGAAAGGTATAGGGCTGAAGGATTCTAAATTTTTAACTGTTTATGAACAAGTGGCAATCTTTTTGCTCACTTTATATCATAATCAAAGGAATCGTGTTGTAACAGAGAGATTTCAACACTCCACTGAAACCATTTCTAGACACTTCCATGCTGTGTTGCATGCAGTATGTCAGTTGGGCACCCATATCATTGCCCCTCCTAATTTTTCTGTGATTCCGAATAAGATTAGAGAGTCTTTTAGGTTTTACCCTTACTTCAGGCATTGTGTGGGAGCTATAGATGGAACCCACATTCCTGCAACTCTGCCAGCAAGTACACAACTTCCATTTCGTGGTAGAAAGGGTTATACTACACAAAATGTAATGGCTGTATGTGACTTTGACATGAGGTTCACATATGTGCTAGTTGGGTGGGAAGGCTCAGCTAATGATTCGAGAATCCTAAATGAGTGTACTGAAAATGAGGCAATGAACTTTCCAGCTCCACCAGCAGGTAATATTATTTTACAAATTCACTTAATATATGGTTAGTTTATCATACTGTATATATCTTTATGTATTCTAAACATGGCAGGTAAGTATTATTTGGTGGACTCAGGGTATGCCAATAAGCCTGGTTATTTGGCCCCATTTCGAGGTCATACTTACCACTTTCAGGAATACCGTAGGACTAGACAACCTCGTGGTCTGGAGGAAGTGTTCAATCATAGGCATTCATCTTTGAGAAATATAATTGAGTGATGCTTTGGGTTTTTGAAGATGAGATTCGCTATTTTGAGGGCAATGCCTCCTTATAAGTTTTCAACACAAGTATTGATTGTAATGGCTTGTTGCACATTACATAATTTCATCAAAAATCAGCATCAGTCTGATGACATATTTGATGGTAATGATCCTCCTCAAAGTGATGGTGAAGATGATAAGATTGTTGAGCATGTGCCTTCGGCTCAGCTTCGAGAAATGGATCAGTTGCGTAATACTATTGCTGATCAAATTTGGAATTCTCTTCAGCACTCTTGATCCTTCTGAAAGTGATGGTATATTTTTTCTTTTATATGTAATATATTTGTTGCTATTGTGAGCTTGCAATATATTTATGTAATATAAATCTTTTTTACAGATATATAATTCAACTTAAAAGCTATTATTGCAGATATGAAGTGTGTTGATGCTCTCTTGAAGGCCACATGTGCTGTTATGAAGATGATGTGTCGTTGCCATTGTCATCCACTTTATGAACTTCTTATCAATTTTTAGTGACAATTATGTATTGTTAATGCTTTGTTCCAAACATTTTATGTACAACTTAAACTTGTTTAATTTGTTGGTTGAATATTTAAGGACTTGTAAATGTTATACACTCTATTTCAATTATGCTTTCTGTGATACCCCTCGGATCCGAGACACGGGTTGATCAGGCCCAGGCCCAAACCCGAGGGAATATCAAACAATTAATATTTTATAGTGAACACGGAATACAAAATAAATTAAGAAATGAAATTAAAGCTGGAAGGAACTAAAAATAGAATCCGCAAAATATTATAATTATTAAAATCCATCAACCCAAACTCCAAAACTCCATCAGTTTACAACTTGGGAATCCATCTCTAGTGGACCCCTATTAAACATTCAAACGGAAGATAGAACAACTGTAATAAATGTCCAGAAATAAAACTATAGAGAGAGCCCTACATCGTCGGAAGAGTGAATAGAGACCTCTGTTCAGCACGAACACGTCTAAGCCTGGAACTGTCGTGTGCCTGAAAAATAGAAGTGGGTCAGGCCCACGCGCAAGTTCTATACTATTACAATCCAAACAGAGGCCCGATACGCATGTACATCCTAAACAATTCAACAATAGCTAATAGTCCGTAAATATATATATAGTCACACTAAAGGACTCTCACTGGACTACAGGCCGGTCTCAACCTGAATAGAGGTAACATGCTAAAACGCACACGAAGTGGGCATATGTACCTATACCTAAACAGGGTACACCTCCAACCATCGTAGCCAGCTACACATCCCGATGCATATACGCTCCCTAGCCATCGGTCCTGAGGCTCAAGCTCATACCGAGGCACCATAACAGTACATATATAAAATCCATCCAAAATCCCTGGTATTGCCGCTCAGCAAGTAGTTGCCATGACAATACAAATCCACGGGACTTAATTTTTAGTTAATCCTATCCTTATTCCAAGTAGGTGGGTAATGGTATTGTTTTAAAAACCAAACACATCCTTAGTATGCCACCGTCCCATACCGGTGCCTACTTTCCAATCCTCCAGTAGTCAATAATACCAATAAATCAAGTATATATCAACTAAATTCCAACATCTAACATTCAATATTAGCAATGATAAAATAAGCATTGATAAACAGGGTCACAACAACAACATATACATGCCCAATTTAAGTTGTTCCCTTTAGTCTGATATAAAGACAGAATTAATTAAAACTTCCATTTAACACCTTACAAATGACATACAGATATGTAGGGTTTGTATCACAAAATCCAAACATCCACAGTTGATACTAACTGTGATAATGTAAGCATCAAAACAATATTCACAGTATGTATGTAGACATGCTCAAATTATAGTGTTCCACAAAACCGATCTAGTGTTAAACTCAAATCCTCCTAGTATTTAAGTTCCAACAGTTACTATTAGAGAAGTTAAGATAGCTATCATCTAGACCCATCCTTCCAATAATTTATACTAGCAGTGGTAAGGAAAAACGTGAACCACAGAACCACAATGCATCCACAAACATGCTTAGTCTAGGTTGAACAAGCATACAACACTACTGTAACTACCAGTTTCATAGCAAAACAGATATCATTTTAGTTTGGTTTAATCTTCATTAATCCTGGAATCATTTAAGAGTGCAAAGAGTATGAAGCCTAAGGGAAAGAGTAAGGATAGAATCTTGCCTCAGAAATTTTTGTTCAAAGTTTCAACGTCGTCTTCTTAAAAAAAATCCCGGCGAGTTCCAAAACCCGGTTACTGTTCACGGGTACGAAACACTATTCCCGAACTCAAAATCTAATCTCCACCGTTCAGATTGTGCGACACTGAGTCATGAACCTATCCTCCAAATTTCAGCTCGATCGGACCACAGACGAAGCGGGATCGGATGTTTGATGAAATCTGGGCAGAATGGAAAAAAACCTGTGCGACCCAGTTACTGTTCACGAGTACGAATCACTGTTCCCGAGGTCAAACTCTGATCTCCACCGTTCAGATTGTGCGCCACTGAGTTGTGAACCTCTCCTCCAAAATTCAGCTCGATCGGACCACGGACGAAGCGGGATCGGAGCTTTGATCAAACCTTGGCAGAATGTGAAAAACTGCGTTTTTCCTTCTCCACTTCCACAAAACGTGTGCTTTGTTTAAAAAAACCCTACACGGACGTCTACCTTATACTTATAGAGTTTTCCTAAAACCCTAGGTTCATTTAAGTCCAACTCACAATCCTAACCGGCCCATCCAATTAACGTAGAAACATACGACGGCTATAATATAAAACCCTAATTTATACTGTAATTAAAACCCTAGTTAGATGTATTTACCTAATTACCCTATTCACTATTAAATACTTAACAAATAATCTAATTGAACAAAATAATAATTAGTAAACCCAATTAAACCAAATAAGACACACATAAAATAAGACACACATAGAATAGTTAAACCAATTACACTTAAACCATTAATGCCAATTAAATAATTAAAACACTAACAAGTAATTCCAATCAAATAACTAAACCAATTACACTTAAACCATTAATGCCATTTAAATAATTAAAACACTAACAAGTAATTCCAATCAAATAACTAAACCAATTACACTTAAACCATTAATGCCAATTAAATAATTAAAACACTAACAAGTAATTCCAATCAAATAACTAAAAATAAATATCATTTAAATAAATTAAATCACCACAAAAGAAAGCAATTAAGCACCTAATAAAAAAAATAATGACACATAATAAAAAAAAAATGCACTTAAATAATAAATTAAATACCATTAAATACCAGGAATATCCTTTTTAAAATTAGTTTAAAATTAGGGGTATTACACTTTCAATCGAGTTTGTTTTTATTTTAATGTTGTGTTGGACTATACAGGTATCAAGATAATAAAATTGAAGCAGGTTATTGCAAAGAACTTGTAAATAGGTTATTGCAAATTTTTTTTACAAATATTGACTCTCATGTAGTATTGTAAAATGTGACTAAAGATTATTTATTTTTAATGTTGAGTTGGACTATACAGGTATAATCATAATAAAATTGAAGCAGGTTATTGTAAAGAACTTGTAAATAGGTTATTGCAAATTTTATTACAAATGTTGACTCTCATGTAATATAGTAAAATGTGACTAGAGATTATTTATTTTTAATATTGAGTTGGACTATACATGTATAATGATAATAAAATTGAAGTAGGTTATTACAAATAACTTGTAAATAGGTTATTACAAAAATTAATATATATACAATTTGGTGGGGGTTTACATTTTTTTACAAAAGAGAAGACAAGAATCTGTATTTTAGAGTTAAATTCCCACCAATGCAGACTTATAAGAGTCGAAAATTATTATCAGAGCTGTGTAGTATTTTTTTTTTCTTCTTTCGCTAATGCGAAAAATGAGCAAAATGAATGAAACACAAACCTATGGACAATCATCACCAAAGGAACAAACTATATCAGGAAATTTCAAATAACTAAAAGTGTAGTTTCAGATCAAGATAACATGCTGTGTGTGTGTGTGTGTGTGTGTTTGTGTTCAAATTTTAATATATTTATTAAAAAATATATAGACTATTTATATAGAAGTAAATTTATAAATAAATTTAAAATTTATAAAAATAAATTAAAAACAATGATAACCAAACATGTTTTTTGTTTTTGTTTTATTTTGTTTACAACAATTGGAGCTACCAAACATGTTTTGTTTTTAAAATTCTTGAAACGCATGACTTACCAAACATGTTTTGCATGTTTTTGTTTCCGACATTTCTATAGTAAAAGATCGTTCCCAAATGTGCTTCCGATTTTTGCTAAAACACTCCAATAGTAAAAATGTTATTTCTGTTTTAACCAAAAACAAAACGCCTAAAGTAAAACGCATGCCAAACGGGCCCTTATTGTCAAACTTTCATGACTTCATGTGATATTACTTGAAGTGCATATATATGTATAACTATATATATACACGCACACAATATATGTACTTAATAATGTACATCCCAAAAAGAAAGTCATGGACTATATATATGAACGAGGTAGCTAGCAGCTGGCTTAGAGACATTTAGTACTTAAAATATGAAAGCATCCAACTCAAAAAATTATGATAGGATCCGAATGACAACTTAATTCCAGGCAAACTTGATTTAATTACCAATTTGTTCAACCAAAATCGTATTATAATCATTATCCTATATGTTTTGTAATGTACTTCTCCCATAATTCAGAGCTGCAGCTTCCGTTCAGGTCACAAATATACAGAGACAGAGAAAGAAAGAGACAATCAATCCATCAATTTTCTTTAATTTGATTACGCTCATATCTTTCTATTAAGTTTATTTTACCTTCTTCAAGAACTATTCAAATGCTGTCTCAAACAATATTTGAAGGTAATCGCTACATATTCAAGTGAAAAACTAATACTAATATTTTAATTTTTTTATATAAAATTTGTCAGTCTCTCACAAATTTCCTACCTCTCTTGCGGTTGCGGTTTATTTAATAAATTATTCTTGCCGTTGTCAGGTACCTTATAAAAAAAAAACATAATCGACTAATATGAGCAACAGATCAAAAATTAAGTAGGAAGTCAATTTTATTATTCTATTGCTTGAAATGATAATAAATACTTCGTCAACAAAATGATAAAATGATATACTATTGTTAATTAAATTACACATTTGACAAATAAAGAGAAATAAGTAAAATTTATCATATTTTGTTTAACATTTCGCTAAGAGGTTAAAATTCCGGACTAA